TTATACAGTGGAACCTCGATAAGTCGAAATTCAAGGGAAATGCAATTTTTTTCGACTTATCAAGGTTTTCGACTTACTAAGGTTTTCGAGTTATCAAGGTTTTAGAAAAAAAATTCGACTTAAAGAGTTTTAAAAATGTATGTATGTATTAAAGTTTTTAATTATTATGTACTTAGTATATATTATGTATATACAATGTAAAAAAATGTGATTATACAGATTATTTAAATAAAAAAATTATTACAAAAAAATATAATACTTTATAAAAGATAATTTATTATTTTACTTTGACTTAAAATTTGAAATTTACTATTATCAATTGTATTTTCTATTACATTTAAAGCAGAGTACACTTTATCGTCCACATTACTCAATTGTTCGGGGAATGTCCTTAGCAATATGAGGGCTGCTGTTGCTTGCTTCATTGAAACAATGAAGATTAGATAAAATTATCGGAACGGACAAGCCGATTAGATAAATGTTTATAAAATTATCTGTCATTATCCGTCATATTCGGAGCACAGAATGTTCGAGTTATCTATAGTTTTTTTTCGAGTAATCGAGGTTTTCGCAAGGGGATGGAATTTTTTTCGACTTATCAAGGTTTTCGACTTATCGAGGTTCGACTTATCGAGGTTCCACTGTATATTATATTTTATAATATGTTTTAATTTTTTAGTATACATATCATTCGCATTATACAGGGTGTAACACTGTAACAGAAAGAACTGTCCAAAAAAAAAAAAAAAAAAAAAATGATGCTTATTAAACGTACGACAAAAATTTATAAAATTATATGATTAGTAAATAGTTTAAAAAATATACAAGTTGGCAAATTTCCAAAAATAATATTTTTAAAAAAGTTATTGCGTTCCAAATAAATTTAATCAAAATCAGATTCACAAATTGGCTATTTTGAATTTATTCGAAAAAAATTAAATTAAATTTTCAGAATAAAAAGATGAATATAATTTTTTTACACGTGTAGCACAAGTGGCTATAAATTATATTAATTTAATTTAACTAAATACATTTTAAAATATTGATTAGACCAAAAGTTATTCCAAAAGTCAGTTCTATCTGTTACACTCTGTATATATGTGCGGGCAATCTAAATTATCTACTTATCTATGGTATTAAAAAAAGTTGACCTATAATATAGGTAGGTATCTATAATAAATTCCAAATTAATCATATCACAATATCCATTAGGTACTTATAACGCGTTATACATAAACCCTGATACTATCATAGATATATAATAGTGTACTTTATAAGTTTCAAGTACCCACAAATAATATTATACAATCACAACAAAATAACTAAAATAGTCATTCTAGGTTATTTTATGTAATTTCATTCAAATTTGAACTTAAAATGACTATACAAATAAACTGTGTTTATGTATTTTTTAGATTTTTTGGTAACAGAATTAACTACTTACATGGAATCTCGTTTTAAAATTTCAATCCTTAGATATAAAAGTTGAACATTTTATAAATTTTTAACTACAAAATAATTATTCAACTTTAAATTTGATAAATGTTGTCAAAATTTGATCTTTAAATGCTTATAAAAAAAACTGTGCCAATGTATTTTTAATATTTTTCAACTGCTATTGTAACAATATATCAGGACCCTTGTATTACATTTTTACACTTTTTGGCCCAACAGATAAAACTTTATTGATATTTATAGAAAAAAAAAATAAAAAAAATTGAAAGCTGTAAATGTCGGTAAACAGCTGAAAAAGAGTCAAAATATTTTAAAAATTGTATGATGTATAGGAAATGCTAATATAAACATTCAGTGACATTTTCATGTATCTACAGTTATTCGTTTTTGTATTATAACTAAATAAGGAAATCGCTATGTATATGAGAAATCCAGTGAATATCCAATGTTGTAAAAATTTGAATTTCAAACGCTCATAAAAATTTAATTTGACTTTCTTAAAGACATTTTTTTTTTGATAAAGGTAGATAATCTTATAATAAATCTTGTATTACATTTTAAAATCTTAGATTTAAAAAGAAAAATTTTTACGAATTCTTAACTCAAGATAATTTGCTCATTTTCGTGATTTTTCCATATTTTGTCAATTTTTGAACTTTAAATGCTTATAAAAAAAAAATTGTGACTAAGGATTTTTAATATTTTTCATCTGCCTTTGAAAAAATATACTAGGACCCTTTTATTACATTTTCAAGCTTTCGCAACCCACAAATAAAATTTTATTGATATTTTTAGAAAAAAAATATAACTTACAAGACGGTTGGTTATAGCCTATAAGCAACCCAGTTTGTTGTTATAATATATTGTAGATATTAATATATTATTGATAACTTGTTACAAATTAATGAAATTATTGGGAAATTTGTTCAAACACAAACATGAGGGTCGACAATCGTGTAATCCGATATAATATGCCTTAATATAGCTATCGCAGTATCGCTAATACTATAGTATAGAATCTATTTCTCAGTTTTCGATCAAATTCCTGACGCTTTGGACGTTTAGTCAATTGTACATACTGTTTAAATATTTTATAAAACAATAAAATTGAAAAGAATAAACGAATATTTTTCTAACTCACTAATTTGTGATACAATTAACTCGGAGGAACCAGGTAAATGTTTAATACATTAAATTATCAACCTAGGACCTAGGTACAAAAAAATGATTAATATGGTAAAAATAATTTTAATTTCACCTTAAGTCATTTCTAATGAGCTGATTACTCATTATGTACAAAATAATTACTATAGGCAGGTACATCGTTTTGATTTATCAATGTATAATATATATTATATGTAAGCCCTCCATTGAAAATAGCTGTGTACGCCACTGGTGGTACGCATACGTAATGACTGAAATGTAACCTACCTAAAATGATAATTGGTATAATATATATGATGGCGATATCACGATGCGCCGTGGATTTCGACGATTCGACAAAAAAAAAAAAAAACTTGAAAAGTTCTTTTCAGGACTAGGCATATCTACTCAAAAGGTCCTTTTCAGGACTACCAAATTTTAAAATGCTCTGTTTATTACCTATCTATCACTATTACTATATTATTTACTATACGAAACAAGTATATTATTAGCATTCATACAATTATAATTATTTTTATGTTTTTAAATTACATTTCTTGTGAATTCTAATTTTGTATGGTGGGGGGGGGGGGGGGGGTGATACATAGGTTGCCTCACCGAAAAAATACTACCAGAACCGCCACTGTCAAAATCATTTGGGCATTTTTGAAGAAATTAAATAACTTATACAATGCAATAAAACTGAGAAAATAAAGAAAAATGAGACACGACTTGAGTGACCGGAGGATCATTATTCATTACTCATTAGTAACTGAATATGAAAAAAAAACATATAAAGTTATATTGTATTATTATAATATATACTACAATCAGTTATTACAAAATCTAACTACTTCAAAATGCAAACGCACTTAATTACGAAATTTAAGTTTATGAAAAAAAAAACAGAAAAAAAAACAAAAAATGTAGACTCGTGTCCTAGTTGAACGCCTTAGTCCACTAGGCCCCGAGTCTACAAGTGTTAATTAATTGATATTTGTACTTTGTACATATAAGTTGAAATAATCTATATAATAAAAAAAAGTGGCCATTTCTCGAATAACGCAGTTTCTTGAAAACTACTACTCAGATTTTCTTGAAATTCAACATAGATATTCAGTTTGAGCTCATAAGTATCAGTCTGAAGTCAAAAATGGCCTAGGTATTTTTTAACGATCACCAGGGAGTCAGAAGTGTAAAATCATTGGTTTATAAAACAAAAATAAAGAGTGGCCAATTAAAGGTCAAATTATAATTTATAATTGCCATAGCAACAAAATAACAGTAACAATTCATTTTTTTTAGAAAAAATAAATCACCAATCTTTCTTGAATTTGTAATCATTAAAAAAAATAGTTGAATATGCCTAAAAGAAAACAAAATATTGGAAAAAATTCTTTACTAAATAAAAGACAGAAGAAACTCAAGAAAACACATCAAGTTGAAGATGACATAATAGAAGAAACAAAAAAATCATCATCAAATCAGAAACAAATGAGTCAACGTACAGAAAGAAGAAAGTCCAAAATGAAAAAAAATTTAGAAATGAAAGCATTTAATTATGATTGTAGTGACGTATTTAATAACGATCATCGTATTTCTATTGGTCTTATGGATATTGAATGTAAGTTTTGCAAAGCGTTAAAATTTCAAGATGAATTTGATAACATGTGTTGTGGAAAGGGGAAGGTAAATTTGCCTGATTTGACTATTCCCGAAGAGCCATTATCAACGTATCTATCTGGAACAACAATTGAATCAAAACATTTTCTAAGTAATATTAGAAAATATAATTCGTGCTTCAACATGACTTCATTTGGTGCGAACAGAAAGAAAGAGTCGGGTTTTCAAACTACATTCAAAATTCAAGGGCAAATTTATCACAGAATAGGATCTCTTCTTCCATATGATTGTGAATCATCATTTTTACAAATATATTTTATTGGTGATGATGATATACAATCACAACGTAGATGTTCGATCGTTCCCAATGTGCAACACGAAATAGTTCAATCTTTACAAAATTTTCTAAATGAACACAACGCATTAATAAAACTTTTCAAAACATCATTAGACAATATGCCGAGTGACGAATGCCAAATTGTACTTCGTGCCGACAAAATACCTTCAAGTGAACACGAAAGACGTTTTAATTTACCAGTTGTAAATGAAGTAGCTGCTATAATTAATGGGAATGAATTTTCAAAACGCGATATTGTGTTACAAAAACGTAGTAATGAGTATGTAACAGTCCAAGAAACCCACAAATCGTATGATGCTTTACAATATCCATTGATGTTTTGGATGGGGGAAGATGGATATCATTTTGAAATATACGAAATAAATCCAGTTACAGGTTTGTCAACAAAGAAACGTGTGTCATCAATGAAATTTTATGCATACCGAATGATGATACGTACAAATCCAGAAAATCATTTATTACATTATAAGCAATTGCTAAATCAATTTATAGTTTATATGTATGCAAAAATTGAAAATGAACGTTTACGCTATATACGATGCAATCAAAAAGCTCTTAAAGTTGAACAGTATATTAATTTAAAAGATGCATTTGAAAATGATGAAAATGTTTCAGATATTGGTCAAAAATGTATATTACCAGCAAGTTTTATAGGTAGTCCACGACATATGCATGAATATATACAAGATGCTCTTTGTTACGTTAGACATAATGGAAAGCCATGTTTATTCATTACATTTACATGTAATATTCGATGGACAGAAATCACCAATTTATTGTTGGCTGATCAGCAACCAAGTGATCGCCATGACTTAATAGCAAGAGTATTCAAATTAAAATTAAGAAAGCTAATCGATTTGATAACTAAGTGTAAGATTTTTGGTAATGTTATATCTTGGGTTTATTCAATAGAATGGCAAAAAAGAGGTTTACCACATGATCATATTTTAATATGGTTAGAAAACAAAGTTCATCCAGATCGAATTGATAATATCATTTCAGTTGAATTAAAAGATCCAGAAAAAGATCCTCATTTATTTGACATAATAAAAAAAAATATGATACATGGACCATGTGGACAGTTGAATCCATTTTCAGTATGTATGAAGGATGGCCAATGTAAATGTAATTATCCTAGAAAATTACTTGATGTCACGAGATCAGATAAAAATGGATATCCTTTGTACAGACGAAGAAGTATAACAAATGGAGGTTTCCAGACTGCTATTAACGACTATTTACTACCAAAATAAGAGAATGGTTTAACCTTTAACAAATTTATCTCTTTGATTTTTATACGAGTAGGGTGATTTTTAAAATGTGCTAGGTTCCAATGTGATTGGGTGCAATAATTTTTGTACATTTGGTCGAATATTAAATATTTAATGTCGGCTGCATTCAACTGTTATAAAAATTTTGAGACCATAGTAACGTAGTAAATAGAAAAACTTTTAACAACAGTAAAAAAATATTTAAACAACATTTAAATGTACAAGTAATGAATATAATATAACATCAAACTATCTTAAAATAAAAACATAAAAAAGAATTACTTAAGTGACACCCATAGATATCAGGCCCGTATACAGGGGGGGTTTAGGGGTTCAAACCCCCCCCCCCCCCCGAAATTATTAAAGTAGGTATATATTTATAATATAGGTAATAAAAACTAACTACATACGTCTTTATATATAAATGTATAATGTACAACTACAGACTACAGTTTATTTTAAGCATTTGTAAATTTCCCTCTAGTCATTACACGTTATCTTTTTTAGAAAATAGCAAACGGATACTTAATACTTATATATTATATATAATATATATAATGTTATCGCAATCTTGTCGGAAGACGGACTTAATCGTTTTCTAGCTATTTAATTGTTCCGTGTTCGCCAGTATTATCGTTCAGTGTGTTTTTCAGAAGTACCTATTCACTGTTCAGTAATAATATAAAATATAACGTGTATTTAATTTGATTCTATTTCTTAATAAGTGTGAGTCTGTGTAGCTGTTTACTATTGCATTATATTTTATACATTTTTTGAAATGTCAAATCACCAATAAGGTCAGAAGTTCTTAAAAAGTTCATAAAAGACTTAATTCCATGCACACGCCACCAAACACTTTTAAAAATGTGTGAAACTCGTTGTGTTGAACGCCACGACAGCTTGTTACGGTTTAAAGAACTATATTTACCAGTAACTAACACATTAAGGGAACTTGAACAGCATCATAATTTAGAAACATCAAAACTTGCATTTCAACTTTCAAAAACTATCACCTCAAGTTCGTTTGTAATTTCATTATACATTATAGAAAAAATATTTGCTATAACATTGCCTTTATGTAAATCTTTACAACAAATAAATGTAGATTTATCTGAGTGTTGTCAATATGTCAATAACTGTGTGAAAGTTATTAATTCAATTCATGAAAATAGTGAGGAAGAATTCCACAAATTATTTTTAGATGTCGAAAATGTATTAAGCTTAGTAGATGAAACGGTTAAAATGCCACGATTAATTAGGCAATCTACCTATCGTAACAATATTCCGGCAGATTCGCCAGAACAGTATTATAGGAGATCAATTTTTTTGCCATTTTTAGACTACTTCAAAAGTCAATTAATTGAAAGATTTATAAAACACAATTACATTATTTCTGGGCTGCAAAATTTGATTCCAAGTTTTTTAATTAAATTAAAACCAAGTAGCAATGAGTTTAAAAAATGCATTGATTTTTACAAAAGCTTTTTACCGACTTATGAAACTTTTGAATCAGAATTGAAGGTGTGGGTGGAAAAATGGAAATCGGTACCCGATAACGAACTTCCTAAATCTGCAATCGATACTTTAGGCGTCATGTCGAAAGACTTTTATCCAAACATTTGGTGTTTATTATCTATACTTGCAACACTCCCGGTGTCCACTTCATCTGCAGAACGTTCTTTTTCAACTTTAAGACGATTAAAAACCTATTTGAGGAATAGCTGCAGTGAAGATCGTCTAACAGGTTTAGCTTTATTGTCAGTCCACCGAGGTATCCAAATAGATATTGAAGAAATAATCAATACATTTTCCAGAATGCCACGTAAAGTTGACTTTGTTTTATGAATTAAAATTGTAGGTATTCAACCATTTTTTTAAATTATTTATATTTTGTATACATTATTATATTATGTTTTGTAGTGCATAATATTATCTATCAAATTATACTATAATTATGTATTTTTAGTTCATGCGTATTAAATATTTTTTACAACCATTTTTTTTAAATTATTTATATATTGTATACATTATTACATTATAATATTTCGTAGTGTATAATATTATTGATCAAATTATAATATAACTATTAACTATGTATTTTTAGTTCATGTATTAAAAATATTTTAACCCCCCCCCCCCCCCCCCGAAAATTGATCCTGGATACGTGCTTGATAGATATATATTATTAATATATATCTATGGTGACACCTTAAAGAAGTTAATTTATCATGCCTGGTGATATGAAAATTGTGGATTTGATTGATAATATAAAAAAGTAAAAAAACCAATAATAAACAAACAATATTTCATATTATTATTACTCAACATATTATCATAATTTAATTTATCAGTTGGAAAATTACTGCACGAATTCAAAACAAAACATCAGTCAGAAAATTTAAAAGAAATGGAAATGAAACTAAAGTCTTCAATTTAGATATTATCGATAATAGCGGAGAAATAAGATGCGTTATATTCGGTGATAATGTTGAAAAATTGTATGATATTTTTCAGGTATTGTGTATATTTATTTTGTTAATGTGTAATATCATAATAACAAGTATGAAATGATACTGTAATAATCCATAATTTTTAGATACAAAAAATATACACTATAACTAACGGTTTCGTGAAAAAAAACAAATAAAAAGTTTAATGATTTAGATCATGAATTTGAAATAATCTTAACAGAAAACTCTAAAATTATAGAATCGAAAGAAGATGAAAATATACCAAAAATTGATTTCAATTTTATTAAAATAAAAGATCTAGCTAATATAAAAAGCAATTCTTTAACAGGTATTTCAAATATAATTTTCAAAAATATAAAAAAAAGAACAGACGAATCGTTATTTCCCCATTTCAGATATTATAGCGATCATCAAAAGTATAAAAGGAATAAAAAATATCAACAAAAAATGGATTACAATTAAAGAGACAAGATATAATTCTTATTGATGATTCACAATCTAAGGTGATGTTAATTAAGATATACAAATAAAATAACATAAATGTATATTTTATGGAATAATACTGATAAAATTTTACAGATATCATTAACATTATGGTCAGATCAAATAAATGATTTTGAAGGAGAAAAAGGTGATATTATTGCTATGAATAATATCAAAATTAATGAATTTTTATATTCGAAAAATGGTATAGCAAAGAAGGAAAATATATCAATGAAAATGAATTTAGAAACTCTTCAAGTCAAGATCAGAAAACATATGATTTCAAAAAATTCAAATCAATATACAATAGTCCAATAAATACCATAATTGGTAAGTTTATGAAAAACATTGTGAATTAATAATTGATAATAAACATTCATTGTTCATTCAGATATTATCGCCAAAATCTATGACATCAAAAAAACCGAAAAAATTAGCACAATTCATAAGGAATTTGAGAAAAGAGAAATAATTTTAGTTGACAACAAAGATAATAAAGTATAAAGGATTTATACTTTGATTATTTATAAATTAAATTAAACTTAATTTAAAATTATAGATTGTTTTGAACTTATGGAACGAAAACATTGACGAATTTAAAGCAAAAAAAAATGATATTGTATCAATAAAAAATGTCAAAATCGGAGAATATCACTATGAAAAAAATCTTTCATTAACAGCTATCCATTCCATAATACAAATAAATCCGAATATTCTAGAAGTAGAAATGTAAATATATTAAAAAATAATTTGTTATATAATTTAAAAGAATGGTTCTTTTTAGATTCACTAATCATAATGAAGACCCAGGAATCGAAATGGAATTTTTCAACACAATACAAATTATAAAAAATATGGAAATTGGAACAATAATAAGTAAGAAGTATATAAAAATAATAAACTAAATCGTATAATATTTTATATTATTTATAATTATTTTTTATTATTATATTTATAGATATTATAGCTGAAGTCATTGAAGTAAATGAAGTAATTCCTGTATTTTCACAAAAAAACAATAAAAACTTTACTAAAAGAGATATACTATTGGCTGACTCCTCAAAAGAAACAGTATTAAATTGGAATATTATAGATATATCGTTATTAAATGAAAACAAAATAATGATAATGAAATTATTTCACAGATAATCCTGACGGTATGGAACGAAGAAGCTGTAAATTTTGTGGGAGAAAGTGGAAGTATTATTAAAATAGAACGAGGAAGAATAAATTAATTTTCGAATAATAAATATATTGGATTATTGCCTACATCTGTCATCACATACGGTTCAATAACTGAAAAAGAAAAGTAAATGACACTTTTATTCACTATATTATTCAAAATGTATTTAAATTGCTGTTGCTTACATAGGTTTGAAACATGGTTATTATCTCAAGAAAATATTAATAAAAATAATACAATTAAAAGGAAAAAAGACGAGATTGAAGACAACGAACAGCCATGTTGTTCGAAATCGTCAAAATAGATGTGTCGATTTTCTTCAAATGAATATAATATAAATAATTTTGTAATTTTGGGTTAAAATACTATTTTCATATTTCTATTTATGGAAAGAAATAAAAAATTTTTTTTTACTCACCGATAACCTCCGTTATTAATTTATTTTATTTGATAATTTGAATATATGTTATTATATCTTGTGCATGTACATACTGTTATAATTAATATTTTTTTAATTTGTATATTTAGTGTGTTTATTTATATGCTTGAGATATTTTTTTTGAACATTATGAAATGGCACATAAAACCAATATTCCATCAACCTGAACTATAGCGATTGTGAGGGGGGTATAATTGAACAAATAAAATTGAGTATATATTTCATAATCGAGGGGATATGGTTATAAATAAAAACAAGCCGGCGGAGCCGGGTTTTAGCCGCTAGTGAAAAATAAAAAACGAAAAATAAAAAGTAAATATATTTTTAGAAAAAAAAAAAAATTAATAATAAAAGAACACATAATAATAATCATTTATGTGTAATTGAGTAAAATATCTTTTTTTAG